AGCAAAACAAGTACATTTTAAGCAGTGAACTTTTATTTACTTTTCAACATTTTTCAACTAACTAAGTTCTTTTATATTTTCTCAGTCAGAATTATTGAGTGGGCCACATCAGCGACATTTAATCTGAAACATTTTGGTATCACATAAAATTTTTGATCGAATGTAAGAAATTGAGAGTAGAAGAAGAAGAAGAAATGAGTCACAAACTGAGTGATTATTTATTGGTTTCTCTTGTATTTCAGATTAGCTCGTCCTTTCAGCGAGTGAACAATAAAATTTGGTTTCAATAAAAGGAATTTCGGCAGTCATGTCAAACACATCGAACGACTACGCAATCAAAGGTATTTCATCAGTTGGTGAACAGTTGTATTTGAACGAAGAGACGGCCGATTTTCACTTTATTTGTAAGTCAGCCGATGGAAAAGATGAACGCATTCCCGTCCACAAATTGCTTCTCGGCAGCGTTAGCGATGTTTTCCGAGCAATGTTCAGCGATTCATGGAAAGATAAAGTCGACGTTGTAATTACAGACGCCACAGTCGCTGAATTCGAAGAATTTTTGCAATTCTTTTATTTGACACGGGCAAAATTAACGATGGATAATATTGCCAAGGTTTTGTATCTCGGTGACAAATACAACGTAACTGAATGTATGGATACATGCACCAAATTCCTGCGACGAACAATCACTGAAAACAACGTTTGTTGGTGCTATGCGCTTGCCGTTCTCCACCATCAAGATGATTTGATACGATACTGCGAACTAATGATCGCCGAAAATACAAAGGCTGTTTTTTCTTCGACCAGTTTTCTGGAATGCAGCAAAGAAGTGTTGGGTCACATTTTGGGAATGGACTCATTGTCTTGTTCCGAAGTGGAAGTATTCAAAGCGATTATTGAGTGGGTAAAAAAAGCCAGCGGAGAGAATGAATTGACAAGAGAAATTGTTCAAACTCATTTGGGTGAACTATTTTTTAAAATTCGCTATCGTTCGATGACATTTGAAAATTTTGCTGCTCTCGATCCTTTATATGGTGGTCTTTTCACGTTAGACGAATATCGAGAAATTGTTCAATTGAATGCAACAACACAGGTGAAATCACATACTCACGCGTGATTTCAAATACATTCGTGAGGGGACCATATTTCATTAAAAATATTGAAACAACCAGATTCTCAGTCAATGAACCATTGCTTTTAAAAATGATCACTTGTACTCGTGTAAACGTTTTTGAAAACAACAAATACAGTACTCTTGAAGAAGAGTTTCCATCGAAAATGACAATCGTTCAAATGTCCGATCCAAAGGAATCTGGTGATGAAATCGTTCTCCATAGTAAAAAAGTTGCTTTGCAAACAAATAAACGCTCCGACATATTTTTGACCAAGCCCATTTTCATCAAACCTGGAATTTTGTACGAAATCCGCTTCGAGCAAACTCCATTAACCAACTATTGTACTGGCATACAAATGAAAACCGAATCACAATTAGATTCTGATATCGTTATAAAGTTTTACAACGATCCGACTGTATCGAAGTCTGATGAAGCCCGGGGGCTAGTACGTGGTTTGATTTTCAATAAAATTTAAGTCATTTCCAGGAAAATTCCAATCGAATGAAATCATCCACATGTCAACATAAACAGAAATTCACAAAACGTAACTGAACTTACATACATCGATACAATTTTATATAAAGTAAATCCGAAGAAAAAAGAATTTATTGAATTTGTCATTTACAGAATAATAAAATATGAATAAAAAAAATCAAATTATTGTGTTCTTCTTGAGTAGCATTTTTTAGCAGTGTTCTTGACTGTCTTGAAGTTGACATTATGGGAAAAACAATTAAAATGAATGAATATTTTATTCAAAAGTCGTTAAAAGTAAACAGACGACTTCGTTCCAACGAAATTTTAATTTGAATTGATTTCAATGTCGATTGTCTGATATGACCTCAATGTAGACAACTTCATATGAATTGATCATATTTGTCTAGTGTTTCTCCTTCGTTCCAATGACTTTTCGTACAACTTTTAATTTATTATTGTTGTGAAATGATGAAATTCATATTTTAGCTGTGTTTTCTCCAAAGAAATACTTTGCAATTCGAACTCGATGATATATCAAAGATATAGTCGTTTAAACGTAATCTAAACGCAAATTGTTTCAATTTTTGGATAACTCATAAGTATCACTGGGATCCATGCTGGGATCCCATATAACGCAATTTTTCACCTAATGCAAATACAAAAAAATGATTCATCTTCACATTTGAATAACAACTTAAAACAATTTAAACGACTATATCTTTGATATATCATGGAATTCTTTCGATTCTAGTCGAAAAATAATGATTTCAAAGCAATGTGATGTCAAATTTGGTTTTTTGAAAAATGGTACATTTTGAACTGTGAGGTGAAAATATAGCTTCACATCGGTCAGTATGGAAATGTGACAATGAAGTTAGAATGCTTTTAAATGGCATGGAAATTGTTTGTAAGCTAAAAATGGGCAAATTCGGTGATTGGAATACGGGAAGTAAATTTATGTAACTTGTGAAGGTAAAACGACCAAAAAGTGACCATTCGACCCGATTCGACCATATTTCTACATTTCCCAATGTTCAATAAAAATATCAGTCTTCGACCGACCTATATGGAACATCCAAACGACTGTATATCAAAGCTATAATCAATTATTTTTGGTTGGAAAGCATTCCAGCTTCAATACACATCAATTTAGTATATACATTCTCTGATTTTTGGAATTTCGGAAATTTTAGGTAAAAACTGTTCTATTTTCATCCAAATCGCTTGAAACTTCACCAGAACCTAAATTCTGGTCATAAATGATGATTACTCTTCATTTCAAACCGATGTGATTGAGAAAAGGTGTTTTTATATTTTCACAAAATCTAGTGGTCCAAGGGATCCATCATGGAATCAAGATAGCTCTTGCGCTACCTACTGGTGAGACGAAAACCAAAAATTACCGGTATGTTGTTTCTGACGTCTAATAGACGCAAAAAAACTATTTGCCCAACAAATTCCGAAAAATTACTAAAAAAACCACCCAATGTACATTGATGGTTTTACGCATTCTTTTTGTACGTACTTTCGATTCTATATAATCTTACCATGCAAATTTGAGCTTACTAGATGATGTTGTTCAAACTAAAAACACCAATGTCGTAGCGATCTAGAGTGGAAATGTTGCCAACAAAAAATGTGTGCTATTGTTGTTGTCGTTTCATTTCTCTGAACAAATATTTTGCCGATATACCGTTGAGTTGTTGTGTTGCCATATCGAATTCGCCATTTTCATCCACTTTTCTCAACTATCTTTGTGATTTAACATTTCACTGAACTGTCATAAAGGTCTACAGAGGTTATTCATCGTTTTTTTTTTCTCCAAATTTTATTGGCCAACATGATAAATGAAATCTTTTCTTTTTGAATGTAAAAATCAAATGAAAATGACCATGTTCAAGGTTATGTGACATAACTTATGTCGTATCTCAAGTATTGCCAGTGTCAAAACGCTTTGAATTCGTCTTTCTCTCGTCACTTTCTTTATATACAAGTGTATTAGCAAATATCGGCATGTTTCTATATAACTGTATTTATCGGTATATATTGTGATGAAAAAAACTCACGCTTTACACGAATATCATATTGAACAGATATGACGATATATCTCCGATATGCCAATATGAAACGATAATATGCAACTTTCATCCAAAACGTGAAAGCACCTAGGCCATATCACTTATCTTCCAGACAAACCTTCAAATTAGTTCGTATCAAATTTGTGTGCAAAAATTTAAAAAATTCATATTTGTAGCATGGTAGGTTGCTATTTCTATATGCATAATGTGTGCTGTGCGTTTTGGATACATCAAGAGATGCCGCTGGGTGTTAATACTGAACTATATCCATTCTGAATAAAAAATTTGAGATTATTAAATTTACTCACTCAATTTATTTGTCCAATTTGTCAACTTATCGCTTGACAGACTTACGGATAGGGTTTGGGTGCTGCTCAAAAATTCATTGACTAATTTAGACGACCAATCGGTTACTTTGTGAAATGATGAGAAATTCTTTCGATTTGCTATGGTTTTTCGCCAAGAAAATTATTTCGATTTGCCTGAAAAATCAACCCGCCTGAAAAATTTTGCTCGCACATTACTGATCCAAACTATAAGTGTGAAAAATGTCGTTCAGGTTGGTTGAAAACTGTAGTTACGGACAAAAGAATGACATTTCATTCTTATAATGTAGATGCATATATTTGAGAATTGCCAGAGCTAAAAAATGTCAATGATGAGACGCCTCTCATTGGATAGATCATAGTTGGTAATACTAATTACTCCATATGCTTAATGAGATAGCCTCAATTTGATGTATACCATGTATAAATATGCGGTATCTTTGAATATGGAGTCATTCGTTTTGGTTCTTTCGATCACTCAACACCACATTGAATAGAAGAAAAATTTACTAAAAACATCACCATTGCTCAAAAAAGTCTACTCTTTCGAATAAATCATCGCATCAAACTAAATCACTAGCATATTTTCGGTACAGTGCTTTTCAAAAAATAATTGAATTTTCTATCTTTAAACTAAACAAAAGGGAAAACATGGCTCAGATGAACGCTTCTCACGTTTCAAATCCGGTATGTATTAAAAGTGTTTTTTTTTTTTTAATTTCAAAAATATATTTTCCTCAATATAAATAGTTCTATTTAATAACCACCAATTGATGTTGTTTTCTCTTAAATTTCAGCAAAATCGAAACTACGCTCAAATAGATGGAGAAGAATCAACTGATCGTATCCCTGATGTACCACTTGGTCGTGGAGGTCGACCGAAACGGACTCGCACTAAATTTACTCCATTTCAAATTTTCGAACTCCAAGAGAAGTTTGCTGAAAATAGTTCTTTGCGGAGACCAGGCCAAGCGGAATTAGCACAGTCCCTGAAATTAGATGTGAGAGTGGTTGTTGTCTGGTACAACAATAGACGTAGTGCTAAGAAGAAAAGAGAGAGAGCTGCGATGACTGAAGCTTCAACTAGTTCACAATCAAATTCGGTCAAAGCATCTCAAGCTTCAACTAGTTCACAATCGAATTCGGTGGAAGCATCAGCGGATGAAGTTGCTGTCGATGCATCCAAAACAGCATCCGTGTGTATGATGAATTACTGTGAGCCTTGTGAGTTTTGTGAATATACAAAACAAACATTCGATGTAAGTATATATCCGGATTTCGTCGGAGATACGGACGAATACAATACTTTTATCAGCGACATTGGATGGGCAACATCACCATAAGTCAACAATGAACATATTGGACAGCTGTAGGGAAAGTCGAAGAGTACACAGAGAGAAAAATGTGGTATTTTTAATTCAATTTTTTAATATAAAATCAACCAACAACGAATTAAATTTACCATTTTTGACATCTCTGAGGCATATTTTTCAAAAGAGAATAAGTTTTACCAACTGCTTCATTACATTCACCAAATTCATGGGCTAGCGTCATCTGTGGTTTCGAAAAGTTGGTAAATGTAATGAAGAAGTTGGTAAAACTTATTCAAATTTAAATAACAAAAAAATCAATAAACGATCACAACCAAGAGAAATTGTTTTGCATATTGCCTGATTTGTTTTACCTTAAGTGCAATTTCGCCGAAAATACTAATTTTTCTCGAAAAAAGCTCTGATCAGACCTAATTACGTAAACGATTCATGTTTTCAATTTCAAATTATCATCCATAAAACTTCATCTCTGTTTTAAAAGAAACACGCTATTCATCATGCTCAAAAATGGACAACGTAATAATAACGAATATTACAATCGTACGATGTGCCATTTTTGAAAAATCAGGTAATAAGTTCAGGTAAAACTAACTAAATATTTAAGTACAAATTCAGTCACAAAAATAATCCTAACGAAAATTTATAATGTATAATAAATGTATAAAATTCTTAAAAAATAAACTCCATGTTGAAAAGTACTTTAATGGCGTTAACAATTTATCTTTTATACAGTTTAGCGGCATATTCATTTAAAACATAATTACAGAGTTTTGCTCAATGCATGCATTCTTGTTCGCTGTGATGTATAAACTGCTACCTACATTCGCATGCGAAGGACGACGCTATAAATAATTTAAATTCTTATCATTTTTGCATTTTACACTATATAGAATGCCCCCCACCATAACCGAATTTGATCCAAATCAAATAGTTCTATTCAATTTTCCAAAAAAACTAAACCGTCGATTCAAAATCTTTTTGTCTATTGGAAAGATTTGTTTTGATACTCAATGCAGTGTATTTTTTAGCAAATTTAATGGAAAGTATACAGCTGATTCGCTCTTTTGTTTACATTCCATTGCGTTGCAACTTGGTTGACGTTATTTCCAACGAAATGTCATTGATAACAGAGGAGAAGTTAAAACGGGGAATTGACATTCTCTGTCATATTAATTTCAAATTTCTTATGCATGCATTTAAATATTTTTACTGTGTGTGTGTGTGTCTCTTATACATATACTGACAGATCCATTCTCACCACTTAAAGCTATGTATTCGCTATATAAGCGCATTGTAATTGCGCACAGACAAAACTGTATTTTAGATAGTGATTTATCGCAAGCAACAAAGATCCAAATGGGCATTTTCCATAGCAAAATTCATTTAAAAAAAGGTAAAAACTGAAAACTATCAAAAAATTGTCAATTATCGCACTCAGTAAGACTTACTGTCATTCTATGTTTTTTAGCTGACAACAGCAAATGTTGTCATAATATCTCGGAATTTTTCATTATTGTGTTTATTCACAACATAGCAGCCACGTAATTGCTTTTTTTCAATTTACTCTTTCATTTGTGCTTTTTTTACTTGTAAGAAAATTATTTGTGGCATATCATGTAAATATTATTATTGATTCAGTATTTGTGGGCTCTTTCAAATTATCATTGGTTTATATAAAATATGGTTTATCATTGTTTTTTTTCTCTTGTCTTTGATTATTTCATCATTAGTGAGTATGAGTCATCAAGAAAAAATGCAAAAGTTATCCCAACCGGACGACCAAAATGGTATTTTCACTGCCGGCTCTGGCCCATCAAATGTGGAATCACCACCGAAAATATTTAAGTTGAGCATCGATTGTTTCGACGAAATTTTTGAGTATTTGAACTTAAAAGACTTGCATTCATTCGGTCAAACATGCAAACGAATGAACAAAGTGACCGGCGAATATTTCAAGCAGAATTATTCAGCGCTACAAATAATCAGCGGTCGTGATGGTATTCATACGGATTTTTCAAATAACGATGTCTTTGGTGAAACTTTCAATATTTTCGGAAATTTCGAAAAAACCAAAATATCTGGCTTCAATCAATTCATCACAACAATAAATGTCCATTCTTATCTTTCACCGTTGAGAAACATTAAACCGTACATTGAAGAATTTGTCTCGATCAACAGTGTTAGTATAAACAATACCACCATAGCCCCTATGTTCTTCAATTGCTTCTCAAAAATGCTCGCAAAAATCGAAACTTTGGACATTTATTACTGCAATTCGAATGACATCTACGAAGGTATATTGAAATTTTGCATAAAATTAAAGAGACTGTACGTGACGAATTCGGAGTTGGATCAAATCTACTGCGCACGAAATGGAAAGTCTCGATGGTTATTTCAACGTTTTCCCAAACTTGAACATTTTGAATTGATTCCAAAAAATGAATTGGTCATTAATGAGCTCAACTCCTTCCTTGAGCTCAATAAAAGTATCAGCACATTTTCAACGAGCGCAAATTGTTTGTGGCATAATCGACACGCATTTCGAAATTCGGAAAAGGCATTGCACATCTTGGAAGTGAAGTTCGTTCATCCGATCGGAAGTGATGGACCAAGTATGCAATTGATTTTCAATCTAATCAATGAACTTTACGATCAAGGATTTTACAAAAGATTACATTTGTACGTAGCGAGTGTGGATGAAGAAATCAATGTTTTGGCCGCTTCGACCAAGAATCTCGATAAATTGTGCATCAAATTGTTCGACTATGCCAATCAAACACTCCCCGTGAGTGTAAAAGAGTTGGTGATTTTGGAATACAATAAAGAAATGACCATTGCACAGTCAGCCAATTACATTGCAGTCAATCCCATGGAAATGCTGGCGAATGAACTAACTAATTTGCAACGTCTTTATATGGTCAACGCAAGCTTTGATGACATCTTGCCATTCATTCGAAAATCAACTCAGTTGAAAAAGATCAAACTTTTACACAAAGATGGATTCGATTCTAGAGTAGATGCGCTTAAATTACGAACATTGAACCTGCAACGTGAACAATTATTTGGTGCCCGAAAAGTAACGATTTATGTACGAGATAAGGTATTCGAGAAAACGAAATGGACAACCACCAACGGAGTCACAGATTTAAGTTTGATTGAAGTTAAAAGAAGCGACTCGTACGAATGGAAACAACATTTTTAATTATTATTTCAAAATATTACATAAAGAACTTAATTTGATTCTCTCATATTAAATTGTAATGGATGATTTTAATTTTTTATTGAAATAAAAATGTTTATACTTCGAATTAACGAAAATTCTTTCGATTTGTTTAGATAAGATGAGATATTTTGGAAAAGTGTCTGGAAAAAGTCAGATAAAGTATCTTTACCCAACACGGATTGTGTTGCGTCTTCTATTCCTTTGGGTAAGTGTGTTCCATAATTTACTCAAATCTTGCTTTAGTTTTTCACGAAATATTTTTGAGATGTCACCATCACATATCTTTTGAGCATCAAACTGCAAAAAAAACATATAAGTTTTATTCAATTCAAAGGTATGTTATATTCTCCCCGGATTTCAAAAACATGTGACAAAAACAATTGAATTTCTGAAAAAAAAAATCTTTTTTCGTGCAATTGAATTTATGAAATTACATCAAAATGTGTCAAAAACTTAATTTTTTCATATAAATGTTTGAAATCCATTGAGATTTTGCTTTATATGTTACCATTTCAAGTCCAACGTCTTTCATTCCAAGGAACAAACCATTCAAATCATATTCGTTCAAATGTGTTCGTAGGATTTCGGCTTGAGCCCCCTCTTCAATCACCGCTTTGATTTCTTGAATTAATCTTTCATTGTGCGCATTGGCTTTTTTCTAGCATAAATACAAGTTACATATAAGTTTCTGATATTTCTACCACATATTGTCGTTTTACCAAAGATAGATCGCTTTTAGAATACTTTTAGTCATTAATTACTCATTATTTCCTTTGTTCGTGTATTACGAAATGAATGTTAGATTTATAGTTCGAATGATAAAATGGCAACATTTTGACCTCAAAGTGGGCAATTTTGTCTAAATGATTTTGATAAAAGCTTTCTGATGTAAAAGTAATCATCACCAAGAAATAGATCAATTTGAACACTTACAATGAACTCTACCCGTTTTATTTCATTTTGCTGTTTGAAAAATAAAAATTCCTTTCCAATATTAGTCTGAAATCTACGTTGCATCGATGACGCCAAGTCATCACAGCCAAATTTTTCCTGAAACTATGATAAAAGCAAGCAAACAAAAATACAAACACAATATATTTTTTTCGAATATAATATTTCCACATACCTGGTACATTGAGTGATTTTTGGTGCTCTGGTGAAGTTGTGTGAATTCGGTTTCATTGAAATAAGTTTGGATTTGTTTGATTGATTTTTGCATACAACTAACGTACGATTCCATTGAATGTTCACTAAATATCAACATTTGCTCAAGTAATAACCGTAAATGATTCAAATCATATTCAAGTTTTTCACGAAAAATTTTAAAAATATCATGATCGCCCAGCTTTTCGTCATTGAACTGCAAAAGTATACATTTTCAATTAAATAAAAACATTTTAAATTGAAAATGATTGTCACACCGTACCCGTTTCAAAGCAGTATTTTTTAACTCTTCAAACGAACTGAGAAGCTCAAAATCGCTCAAATTTAGTTTTGTATTGATTCTATCGATAATTTGACTGTAAGTTTTTGCTTTTATTGTGTTGACCATTTTTTCGTTGAAAAGCTTCGCCGTTTCCTACAATTTTTCATAGAAAATTTATATTTGACCATTTTGTTTGCGAGTTAATATGTTACTTACAATGTAATTTCGATACATTTTATCATTTTCAAGATGAAATATGTTGAATTTGTCTTCAATATCAATTTCAATTCGTTTTTGATGGTCCAATATGAGTTCATTTGTCCCAAACTTTGATTTTGTCTGAAACTGAGCATAAACATCAGAAGAAATGACATAATTCATGTTCATTAGTTATTTCAATGTTTTCAAACCAGTTCAATTGCCTTATTTTTCGCACTTCGATGGAGTTCTTTGAGTTCATTTCCACTAAAATATGATTGCGTTGCATTGAGTGATTTTTGCATGTAATCAATGTAAAAATGTATGCACTCATTGGACAGAATTAAGAGGTTGATTTCTCTTGTTGCCTAGAATTGAATTAATTTGTTTTTGAATTGTTTTCATCAGATAAAACAAAAACACATACCATTAAAACGGTTTTTGGTTCGGGTAGTGTTTGTCCATTGAATAAATGCAAGTACGACTGTAAATATGGAATCAAATCTCTGGCGCGCACTTCATGCCCATTGATTTTTTTTACAACCAGATTTTCGGGTGCAAAAATGGATAGTGTCAATTCTTTCGTGTATTTAATAAAATCGGGATGAATTTCTTTTAAATTGCCGGTAAAATTAGGTTGTTGTGTTACAGCAAAACCTGGATGTGGCATTAAAAATGCACCGATTTCATCAAAACTTGAATTAATTTGTTTTCTCAGTTCGCGCATTTCAGCTGTTTGTTCGTCATCTTTTGCCAAAATATCATCAATAACCTCATGTCCGTACATGCCATAATCGATTTCATAGGCATATTGCCAATCGCGAACGAGAAACACTAAATATTGAAATGGTTTTTTATTTGTTTGCTCCAAAACGAGTCGACCATATTCCGTGAATAACTGCAAATGTTGTAGGTCGCCTTCTTGAATGTTATGCATCAAATTGAAGATTTGCACCGAAGACAGCA